AATTCTGGTTTTTAGTAATGCTACTAACTAAAAGTAAATTAGTACTAAGTTTAGGAACATGCAAAACTGAAGACAAGGAAATGGCATTAGACAACTTGATGTCTCCCTTGCCAGAAATGGGAACAAGGGAACCATCAACAATGGACACTTTGTCTCTGCCAGGAGATAAGTGATTAAGTGGTAGGTAGTAAACAGTGAGGGCAAGCCAGCCATATGGTCAGATGCTCCTGAGTCTATTATCCAACAAAGTTCAGTGTTACCTGGAGCTGAAGCATGATAAGCTGAGGCTCGAGTACCTGAATGAGCAAAGGCTGAGGTGGGAGGAGCTGATGGTGGCTGAGGTGATGGAGCTGAATTACCAACTTCACTTTCCAACTGAGTTAGAACAGCCCGAACAACAGCTAGGGTGTCTAGTGGTGTGCCTCTTGTGCCCGATGAGGTTGCACAATCAGTATTAACAGCCATGTTAGCATTACCCTTTTTGTTCCTGAGTTTTGTTGGAACTAGATGAGGATGCAACTTCCAACAAGTGTCTTTAGTATGTTTAGGTTTCTTGCAATGTTCACATACTAGGTCCCTCTTGTCTTCCTTCCTCATATCCCTCTCCTTATCATCCACAGACTTAGGTTTAACTGCTGCCAAGGCTGATTCGAAGGGCTGATGTTGCAATATAACCTTTCTCCTAGTCTCTTCACTGTGCACTAAGGAATAGGCTTGTGATAGGGTCACACTGTCTCTTGTCAGTAGTTGTTGTTTCACAATATCATATTCAAAATTCAGACCAGCGAGGAACTCAAAAACCCTATTAGTTTCAACCTGCTTTCTATAAGTCTATGCATCCTTTTGACTTTCCCACTCAATTGTTTCCAGATGGTCAATTTCATGCCACAAGGATTTCAAGTTTGAGAAGTAAACCGAGACCTGTTTCTCTCCTTGCTTAAGATTATTAACCTTACATTTCAGCTCATAAGCTCTAGCAACATTAAGGGGTTGGGAGTAGGTCTCTGGTGGGTGCCGAACCCAACCAAAGATAAATATTCTTGCTCTGGGTTAATAATTTGCAGATAGTGATGAGCAAGGTCGTTCTCCACAGGGATTGGGTGGATTTATTTCCAAGTAGATGGATTAAGGGGGGTTGTAAAGCTAAGGAAAATGAGAAAATAGCAGAAAATAACAGAAACCAAAGATTAA